TGTACAGCTTCATCAAGCGTATCTCTTCCGCTGCATTAGTTCAGTGTACAACATGTTTACAGTCTCCCTCGCTGCCGATCTGCCTCTTCACGCATAGAGAAGCTTTGCGTGACGCAAGAAAAACGTCTGGGAGGGAAACTAACCAATATCGTTTAACCGTAATTCAGTCTAATTTAGTAATGCAGTCTGAAAATAGAGGCTTTAAATCCCAGTGCAAGAAGCGCGGTACAAGTTCATTATTAGATAGAAATGTATACAGGATGAAGCGAGAGAAACCCACGAATTTTGCTTTAGGAAAATCGAAGTGAGGCCGAGCTTCGAAGTAAGAAATTTTTTAGGTAATGGACTTAAATCACTTCCTCTCCTTCTCGAGTAAGCGATAAATTTTCTACGATCAATCTCGCATAAAAGTTACAATACCCTAGTGCCATTACCGACGCTTCAAAAGCCTCTCCAACTTCTTCGCAATCCGTAAGGCGAAAGTATTGTAGTTTATACCGTGTGCTTTTGTAGCTCCATTTTCTAGCTCTTCTATGAAAAGGTTTAACATATAAAATTTCGTTCCCCTTACCCGAGTCTCTGTTGAACTTTTTGAGAGATGAGGCTAAAATAAAACGAAGATCAAACCTCTTGCCGCAGGCATCATCACTCAAAATGAAGCTCTCCCTCGTGGAATTTTGTATTTAAGAACAACTTAAAAATGTCACGTGGTTGTCTGTTAGGCTGATCGCATTCTAATTCGTTCTTATAAAGTCAGGTACAATTTTTGTTTCGTCTCGTCCCTCCCTGTTGCATGGAAGAAAAAATCGACACTTTAGGTTAAACACACGAGAACGAACGGCAGTAAGTCGGAAAAATGCCATTCCAAAACGCATGAAGGGGTTATCTAGTTGACAGAATGAGTTGATGAGACGTTTTCTTTGTATCCCTCGCTGAATGATTCACAAAAGACTGGGTCACAAAAAAGCGACCTGTTTAGTAAAATTGCAATTTTTTAAGTGATAGAATAATACTGTGATCTAGTATTTGGACAACGTTACGTCTGGGAAGAGAAAAGTTTTAATCCCGATTTTAGCTTCTTCGTGAAAATGGCAGGCATCAATTTCTGGGATCGTGAGTTTAATGATCAAGATAATATTATTTTTACAACACATTAAATTTGGTTAAGATGAAGTTCAGATGAACTCGATCGGACTTTTTGCGAGTACCTAGGAGAATCCGTCGGGGACGAAAAGCTAAAAGCTACTAAAGCGAAATTGGTTAAAAGGGTGTCTTACTTCTCAGGTTGTTTTATCATAGAATAGCTAATCGAGCATTTTATATTAAGGGGCGGAATAATCAGGCTTTGCCAAGCGTATCTGTCGCCCTAATGATTTGTTTAATAGAGTAAACGCTACAGTCTTAAATGTCGAGTAACCGTCCCTTAAGCGGGAACAGTCGTGAACAGGCAGTAGCAAAATTTACGGTACAAATTAAAAAAAAAAAAAGATGGAACTATATACGGGATAATGCTAGAGACACCGGGTTTAACTTGCTTAAGGAAAATCCAAGCAAATGTGACGTGCGAACCTTGAGGCCGACCTTCGCGGCAAGATGTTTACAATGTTGAACTATTAGATTCAAATGATCGCGTTAGACATAATATACCGAGCTCACTGAGCTTTACCGATGACTTGTGTCTTCCTCTAGTCCATATCTAGTCAGCAATGAATTGTACACGATTAAACATTGGAACTACAAGGTTCCCATCTCGCAAAAGCTTCCAGCGACTTCCATAAGGCGGAAGTACTAACCGGGTACATTCGAGCCTCCAGAATCCACGTCTTTTTCATAAATTCTTTCAAAAAGCTTTTGTTCGCCTTACCTTAATCTCTGTTGCGCTTCAACTGGTCGAAACGTTACAGGATCGGCCTACAAAAAACCCCTTCGGGCCACATATATGATCTTCAGTTAAATCGAAACTTTTATGCGGCCTTCAGAAATCACGTGGTTGTAGGTACTGAGGCTGACGATCGCCGATTCTAATTGGCTCTCGCTCTGACGTCTCGTAGGGTTTCTTACAAATGTCACGGATTGCCTTTTTTTGCGTTTTTCCTTGAAGTGAACGTGCTCCATGATAATTTATTCTAGCCTTTCCTGTTATGTATTGAACTCTCTTATGCTTTAGAAGCCATGTCTTCCATTGCTTTTCTTCGATAAAAATGCTTGTTTAGTTCAGTCATGTGTCCCTCGAATTGCTTTTTCTTTTATTCGACTTATACTATTCTCTTCCTCTTATCACGGACAGTTAAGCGCAAGTTTAAATTTCATTCCGAGCGACTTCGCAGCTGACTTCGTCTTACTAGTTCACTTTACCTTGTTCATTTTACGTTCAATGCCCGGGCTTCAATGAAACGATGGGTCATTAATTTATGTACAGCTTCATCAAGCGTATCTCTTCCGCTGCATTAGTTTCACGCAGAGAGGAGCTTTGCGTGACGAGAGGAAAACGTCTGCGAGGGAAACTAACCAATATCGTTTAACCGTAATTTAGTCTAATTTAGTAACGCAGTCTGAAAATAGAGGCTTAAAATCCCAGTGCAAGAAGCGCGGTACAAGTTTACTATTAGATAGAAATGTATACAGGATGATGCATGAGAAACCCACTAACCTGCGTGGCAGGCGCTTGGAGGTAGTGGACGCAAGAAAGAACTGGCGCACGAGAAGGAGACACGCGAGGGCAGCTCGCGTGCTCGTTCTTTCTTGCGCCCACTACTTCCAAGCGCCTGCTACGCGGGCAAGAAATCCGCGAATTTTGCTTTAGGAAAATCGAAGTGAGGCCGAGCTTCGAAGTAAGAAATTTTTCAGGTAGTAGACTTAAATCATTCCCTCTCCTTCTCGAGTGAGCGATAAATGTTCTAAGATCAATCTCGCTTAAAAGTTACCCTAGTGCCGTTACCGATGCTTCAAAAAGCCTCTCCAACTTCTTCGCAATCCGTAAGGCGGAAGTACCATTTTTAAGCTCTTCTTCGAAAAGGTCTAACATATCAACTTTCGTTCGCCCTCACCTGAGTCTCTGTTGAACTTTTGAGAGATGAGGCTAAAACAAAAGGAAGATCAACCCTCTTGCCGCAGGTATCTTTACTCAAAATGAAGCTCTCTCTTGTGGGTTCTCTTGTGGTATTTTCTATTTAAGATCGACTTAAGAATATCACGGGATTGTACGTAAGGCTGATCGTATTCTAATTGGTTCTAATTCGTTTTTGTCTCGTGACGCAACGCTCCTCCCTGTTTGTCAGGGAGAAGCGTTGCGTGACGAGACAAAAACGGCTGCGAGAGAGACTACATACAAACAAACAAACAAACGGTCTGCAAGAGTTAAATCGACACTTTGGCTTAAACACACGAGAACGAACGGCCGCAAGTCGGAAAAATGCCATTCCAAAACGCATGAAGGGGTTATCTGGGTGACAGAATGACTTGATAAGACGTTTTCTTTTGTATCCCTCGCGGAATGATTCACAAAAAAGTGACCTGTTTAGTAAAATTTCAGTTCTTTGAGTTATAGAATAATACTGTGATCTATACTAAGGATACTAGCATTTGGACAACGTTACGACTGGAAGAGGAAAGTTGTGATCCCGATTTTAGCTTCGGCGGGAAGATGGCAAGCATCAATTTCTGGGATCGTGAGATAATTGATCAAGAGATTTTTACTTTTACAACACATTAAATTTGGTTAAGATGAACTCGATCGGACTTTTTGTGAGGAGAATGCCTCGAGGTCTTATGCATCAGTCAATCAAGTCCAGCTGCGTCCAGCCTCACGCTGATACTCGGCCGTTTAGTACCGTTTACAGTTTTCAGATGTTATCAGATTTATTGCACAGTGCTTTTACACAATATTACGTACGTTACACTGTTAGGTAGCTCGAACAGAGGCACAACATTGAATGAAGGGGTTGGGGAGAGGAAAAGCTTTATTAGAGAGCTTTAGATTTTAAGACGAGAACGACTACGAGTACGAGATTTTTTCAATAGTAAGTAGTGCTCGCGCGTTAGCCAATGTCATTTTGGCGGGAAAACGTGGAAGCCGTCGTCATTCTACTTCGAGTTTTAGCAAGAGTGTCGTAGTGGCAGGAACAAGTTATCAAATGTTAGAAGTTTTAGCAAACTGCAATCGGGAGAGGTCTTAGCCTCCTTTAATAACGATAACAGTGCTAACTTTTCTGGTGAAAAAAGTGCAACGAAGAATTCCAACAATACGCTAAAAAAAACTTAGAATCAAATCTCGTACTCGTAGTTGTTATCGTCCTCGAATCTAACGGTCTCTATTTTCTCTCTTTTTTTTTAGTTTGCAAAACGTAAGAGAGGCCCTTTAAGGCATAGTGTCTCAACTAATTTTCTCGCCATTGTACATCAAACTTTGGTCACAAAGTAGTAGTGGAAAACTACAATGGGTTTATAAAGTGATTATTTATTAACATTACTAGAACCCTTTATAACAAAACGAAGTACAACTAAACGAACTATACATAAATATCTGTTTACAGAATGATTCATGGCAACGAAAATTAATACTGATCAATCAACGACACGAAAAACAGTCACTGAACTAATAGCATACGTTTCGTAGTACAACTTTAGTACAAGTTGGGTAAAATAAGCTTTAGTAAGAGACATTCTAAAACGTCTAAAAGACGTGTACATATTTTTAGTAAAATCAATTTTAAACAAATGACCTTAAAACCTCTGACAATGTTAAAGGTCTTGAAATGGGCAAACTGTCTATCATATTATCACACCTTCCTTATAAAATATACAATATAATTGCTGTGATTACGTTTGAATGTGTTCATGCCAGTGTTCGATCTAATATCACCAACGTCTTGCTTAAAATAATAAGTGCTCTGTCAGGTTAAAAACAGAAAGGGGTAAAGTAATATCACTATAGCTTGAGGTTCTGGTTGACATGTCACTGGCATGCACCGATATCTCTGCTTAAACTTTTCACTGTACTGCTAATTGTCAATGTCCATTGGGCAACTTGACAAATTGTTAACCCCAGGGAAGATGTCAGTTAGCCTAACACCCTTCAATCTATTCCCCTGGCCACTTCGGTCTTCCTGTGCCAACTGAATGCATTCATCAACATACTTCACTATTTCTGTAAATTGAACACCTTGTTCAATGGAGGTCTTGTCTGGATCCTCAAGGTATAACCCCCTTGTATGGAGAACAACCAACAGTTTTTCACCATACCGAAAAAGGATCCCGGGGGAGCCAGATGAACCTTCAAAAAAGCTACTGACTTGGTACATTCCTCGATTTGGATCTTTCGAGTCAAAATAGGCGTTACATGCTTCCACATTTGTCCCTCCCCTCTTTAACGCGTAGAAATAAAATGCAGAGCTGTCCTGTGGAGCTGTAATCACTGGACAAAAGAGATCTAACTGTTTTATCAGCCCATTTGGGTGTCCAATTAGGTGGAGACACTGACCTTCCAGCGAAGACCAGGGAGAGTCACGGGGGTCCATAATAGTCGCGCCAGTGGAGAAAATGCAAGGAGACGGCAACTTGTCACTTCGCTCTTTCAACTTCAAGATTGCAAAATCCATTTTCACACTACTCAATAGAAGGAAGTCCAGCTTATATCTTTGGTCTGAGGAAGGACCTTTTTCAAAGTTGAAATCAACAAAAGCGCCATATTTCAAATCAGCCTTAATAAAATCATACACATGCCAATTTGTCATAATGTACTGTGTGCCTGTTCCAAAACAGGTGCCAACCGACTTAGGGTACCCTGCAGTATTCACTAAGAAAATAGCTCCAACTGCATCAAGTGTCTTAGTGAGGTCTCTTTGTTGGGATGCGGACATACTGAAGTTTGCCTTCAAGGCAAAGTTACGAAATTTCACGTCACATTCCTCGACTAGTTGCTGTTTTAATTCGCTATCGAGAGTTTTAGTTTGGACGAATGCCTTCTCGATCAACTGTGCTAAGGTACCAGGAACACTTGCTGGAGATTGGCTTGTTGTTGGTCCCGGAGTGCTTGAATCAGGTGGCAGCCCCGCTGTGCTTGGTCCTGCTGTGACAACATAATCCTCATCTTTCTTGGCTTTGATTGGTTCTGCTTCAGCTATGGTCTTACGTGGGTCTGGATGAGGCCGGGGTGGAACGGTTTGGGGTAAACCGTTTTTTTTCTTTGAGAGGCAATAAATCTGAACAGTCTCGTTCTGGCAATGAGCAGCCGAATACGACAGAGGGTACGGTTTTCGATCACAATGTACTCCGCAGGATCCTAGCTTTTCACCATAAAATCTTCCGTCTTTCCTCAAGGCTTCTAAAATTGACTCATCTTCGTTAAAATCAACCTGTAATCTCATGTTTGGGTCCGTACGGATTTTGTTTTTGAAAGGGGTAACTCCGGCTGCAATGTCATTTAATGACACAAAGAAATGTCCCATATTCCTGTTGGAAGTGCACTCATTCACATCATATGTGCGCATATACTTAGTGACCTGATGGGAATTTTTTTGTCTAAATTCACATGTATAGGTCTCTTTATCAGATAAAGCACCCACACGCTTACCGACATTAAGGCAGTCATTGTTGGCAGTCTTAAAAAGAAAGAAGCTCAGAGAATCAGGATTTAGGTTTGTTTTAACATCTGGCATCCGTATTTTTCTTTTAATCATGTCAAGAATGCTTTCTTGGCCTGACGATTGGCAAGGCAGGGTTTTAGGATGGTCTCCATGGCCAGAAAACTTTACATTGTACACCTTGGTCTCAACCACAGTGCTAAGAAAGGAAAAAGAAACTTGGGGTCAGAAGGTTACTTAAGAATAAGAGGCGCATATGCCCTTGTATGTACCATAATAATGCTATTACTCACTCGCAGTTATAATGAGTAGTTCCAGAAATATCCATAATTCCCCCCCCCCTCCCCCCGCTACGACGGGCAACATAAATTCCGAGAGGAGGAGGGAGTGGGGGGTCCAAAAGGAGGCAGATTTTTTTTCCAGGGGGTCTGAGTAAGATTGGTGAGTTATTAAGAAATAACAGCTTCTCTGTTGAACAAGCAATCAGTTATTTTACTGTTACCTGTGTTTCAAAACAAGTATTATTGTTTGCATTGATCATCTTTTATCTACGGTCAGCCAAATGATTTTTCTCACGGCTTAAGCGAATGTTTTCTTTAAAACAATTGTCACCGGCTCAGGAATAAACTTCCGGTTATCTAGCTGTTGCTTTCTATTACATTAATTTTACATGGAAATGATTAATGTTTCTACAATAGCAAGTTAAACTGAAGTTTATGGAACTTGTAGATTATTGTGTACAAAATTTTGAAAGACATAAGAAGAGATGGCTGTAAGTGAGGCTATAACAGAAACCTCTTTTTTCTTGATTAAATTTACCTCACATTCTTGCTGTCATCTTCTCCCAAACACTTATCTGCTGAAGCAGCCATATGCCGTGATTGGCTCTTTTTCAGAGACGGCGAATCATATCCTGAATCATCCAATGACATTTTTTCTCTATAAATCAGAAACAGAGCTGGTTGAAACACTTAAAAGTCATGTATGAGGGTATCAAGGCTGTGCTCAAGTGGAGCCCCTGTGACTCCTAATGCCTAGGACCTTTAGCCCCTGGGTGACCATAGAAAATCTCAGTTTTTTTCATAGAAATCATAAATGCTGGGCATGCTGGATGTTGCCAATTCAGGGCACAGCTGTGCTCCCTTCAATTATTTTAATAATAATTATAATAACAATAATAATTATTTTCTTATACAGCACTACATGATCCAATGCAAAAGAATGCTCTATAGTGCTTCACTGAGACACATTAAACCTGCTTTATAAGTTACAACAACCAGAATTATCAAAAACTAAGACAACCGTGGTAATTTCTTTAACTCGTAGGAGGGAAGGCCGTGAAGAATGCTGCTGCAGAAACCAGACAGCACGTTAAGACAGCACGTTCCTTAGCAGATCTGGATAGAAATTTCATAATTTTTCTGATGTGGTGAATAGAATGTGAAGCGGAGCAACAAATGTTCATGTGAATTTTAAAAGTGAGATGGCAAACAAGTTTGCCCCCAAGGTCTTCGACTTTACTACGTGGAGTAACTGAGCAATCTCCAACCTTGATAGTAGGAACTGAATTGGCCGGTGAAAAGCGAGAGGAGAATTGAATGACTTGTACATTTAAGCATGTGGATACAAAGCGTAAGATCCTGTATTGCTGTAGCACGATTGCTTTGTCTTATAATAATGCTGTTAAGCTGAGACTCATCGGCGTACATCAATGCATTTAAACTGTGAGCCAAATTAATTACATCTTCCAATTCGCCAGTTTGAGGTTGCACAGAAGACTAGGTCGAGATGGTGGTCAAAGTGTATTGTGAGACTGTTTTGGGGGATGAATTTGTCTCAATGTTGAAAAACAGTACCACAGTGTGCTTTGACAACCATCTCGACCTGGTCTCCCATGCAAGTTTTACTTGGTAAATGGATAAATAATTATAGAGAGAATTAATAACACTGGTCCTTAAACAGAACCTTGAGGGACAGAGTGACATAGAGCTGGGTGTCATCCGCATACAGATGGTGACTCAGGCCAATGTAGCCTAATGAAATTTCCAAAAGGTGAAGTATACATAGAGAATAATATAGGCCCCAGGACATTCCCTTGTGGCACACCGGTCAGTTTTCACTAAGAATTCTGGTAGCAGGGGAAATGTGTAACATTACAGGAGAATATTTTGAAAGAGACTTCATGTCTGAATAAAAAATAGTCATAGGCTACCAAAAATTTGCTAGAGAATCCTGCGTAGTTAATGGAGAATTTAAAGATCTCCAATGCCTAATGAACACCCTGTCAGTAGACCGACCACCCGGAACAGTGACAGTGTAAGTCCTGTTGGGAAGATAGGACCTGAACCAGTCAAGAGCAATGCCATTGATTCTGAATCTTGATTTCAAAAGTGACAGCAGGATGTTATGATCAACTGTATCAAAACCGCTGATAGGTCTTACTAGTAACAAGAGTATCACTTGTTCTGATTATCCAAGGCCCTAACGATGTCATCATAAACTTTGATCAAGACTGTGCTCTACCAGAACCCAGTGCCCCCAAACTTTTGTTCTTGGGCGCCTAGAAAATCTTTGCTTTCATAGAAATCATATGCTGGGCACACTGGATTTCACAAGTTCAGAGCACTGGGCTACCTTCAATTTTTCTTAGAGCACAGCCTTGTTGATGAGTGCATGATTGGGTTGTAAGCGAATTGGTATACGTGTAACTCCTCTGAGTTGCTGTCAGATATAAATTGGCAGGTCTTAAAAGCCACTACTTTCTTGATTGCCTCAGCAACAAATTTTAAGTTGGAAATAGGGAAAGCTGCTAAAATCCGTTAGGGTGTCCAGCGGCATGGTTGCTCAAAAAAATAGGAAAATAGGAAATTCAGGATTGAGAAACTAGGAAACTTTAGGAATAGGAAAATCAATAGTACTTTTGTCGACAAAGATAGACTCACTGTACCCCATCAGGGTTGTAATAAAAGCTATGTTTGCAGGATTTACTGTAGATCAACTTTCACAGGTACATGTAAGAAGGAGTGGAAATGATCAGTAATGTTTTAAAGCAGTGTATGCAAAATGACACTGATCTATTTGGTACCAGATTGTAAGTGTGTCATGGTTAAATTCTAAGAACATAACACTCTGCTTAGCTATTACTGCAAGACCGGTTTCGGAACCAAAATGTTGGATCCTTCTTCAGTTGTTTAGGTATAGTAGCCTTAAGTTTGTTTTTTCATGTAGCATCCAGAATCAGTTATAGTGACTGGAGCTGATTGGATGATTTGTCTGCCCTGTATTGTGAGAGGACAACTTGATCCTGTTGTCTCATTAAAAGATGAAAATAAAAGTGCGCAAGAACATGTACATACTGAAATGCAGTTGCAGTAGGCTATGCACGATATTATTGTTCAATAGTCATGAGAACTATAACACGTTGACATACAATACATGTAGGTGCACTAGAAAATTGCACAAAGAGTAACAATAAAACAAAGTTGTTAAAAGAACTCTAATAGGTACTAGAGGTCATGGAAAGAACAAACGTAACTATTATTTTTGCTGATAATTATTAGAACATCAAAGTCAAAAATACTTAACTTGCTTTATGATAAATCTCACCCAAAAACACAAATAACTATAATTCCATTTTCAATTTGGTTACAAATTTTGGCTTCACCAGCTAAAAAGTAGGAAAAATAGGAGGTTTTAGTTTACAGCTGTAAAAATAGGAGAAAATAGGAATAGGCTCAAAAAATAGGAAAAAATATGAACTGGACACCCTGATCCTTAAATAGTCTCTAAAGACGGTTTTTTAAGACCTGTACTAAGACAGCAGACTTCAGGCAATCAGGTACTTTATACTGCACCTCAATGAAGCATTCACTATTTTTGTAATCACAGAAACGAGTTTATCAAAGCAACTCATCAGAACATTGGCAGAGATTGGGTCAACACTGAAAGACTTGGTAGCAATCTTCTTAAACAGTGAAGACGACTCATCACAAGTAACAAATGTGAAGCAGTCAAATGTGGATCTACATTCTGGCAAGTTGGAATCAGGCAATGAATCTAATACCTGATTACTTTTCTGGAGAAGGTCCTGTCTGATGATGCTGATCACCTTACTTTTTAAGAACTAAGCAAAACCTCAGCATTTCTAGCATGTGAAAATTGTTTCTCAGTATCTCCTCTATTAAGGGTGCGTTCCTTTCGGATGATCTGGACCAGGATCACTGATCACTGATCATCCCAAAGGAACGCACCCCAAGACTCTAAACAATCCTAAACAGTTCTTTCTGATCTGTGCCACAGGTGCCAATCAGCTCAGAGTAGTATGTTATCTTTGCACTGGATATACATGTAAGCTTCTTCACCATCATTGACTTTTCAGCATAGGCCTCCCTATGAAAAGTAAAACCTGTTGTCCTCTGCCTTCTCTCACAGCTCCGAGCTTCTAGATTTCAAATTTTTCTGTGGAGCATTCCTGCGGATCCCCCAATAAAGGGAAAGGGACATTATGGCCCCTTTTCTGGTCACCACTGCCTATTTTACTATTGGCAACAACTTGTTAAGAAAATTATTGAAACCCCTGCAGGTAGTAAAAAGGGTTTACTTAAATTGGTAAATTTACCAGTTTAAACCTGATAAGTAGAACACTGTTATGTAATGGGCAGTCAGTTGGATGGTGATCATGCAAGTGCATGTACTTCAATGCTCAGAGACACACAGTGAAATGTGTGAATTGACAAATTTAATCCCACAGGCCTACAGAGTCACTTGTTGAAAACCTACTAGAAACTGACATTTTACTTTTATAGCACAACCCTATATTCCTATTGTTATTACTATTATTATTATTATTATTATTATTATTATTATTATTATTATTATTATCATTATTGTTACTATGATTTTCAACATTGTTGAAAAACTATTTTTCCATCTTTGAATTACAAATGAATGGAACTACATGTATTACAATACAGGGTTCATACAAAAAATTGCAACCATTTTTCAAGGACTTTTAAAGGATCACATTAGATTTTCAAGGACCACCTACTAGGAATATAATTTCACAGATTCTACAAAAATACACAATCCCAGTCTATTCTAATAAGGCTAAGGCTTGAACTCTTTGCTTCTTCAACTTCTCTACATTCTTCAGTTCACTTGTCTTAAATTGATAGCTAATTGATTGCATAAAACATTGAGCACTCGGTAATAATCTTTACATTCTCTGAGCTACAGTACAGCTCAGAGGTAAGTGACCAACGCACACAAAACAGTCATGCACATTTTTTGCATTAACGCATAATCGTTAACTAGTTTGAAAGCGTGTTTTCGAAACTAGCTTTCACTTTTGTTATTCACTGATTAATGCTTCACAGTTTTCGCTTTGTTTTACCACACAGAAGAAAAGAAATGCTCCCGAACTGCCAATATGGATGAATGGTATTAAATATTCCATTTCTGTCAAAGCTTAGCCTATTGAGTGACAACATACCTTCCAAACTTAATTTTCATGTAACTACATGCATATAACAAATATAAAATCGAGAACAAGAGATCGATGATTCACATCCTGTCTTGGACAACCAAAAAGCATCAAACAACACTTTCCAGGCCACTACATTCAAAGGAGAGGAAAATTCAAGGACATTTCAAGGGCTTGCATGGAAATTTAAGGACTTTTTAAGGACTTCCCCTAAAATTCAAGGACTTTTCAAGACTGAGCGAAGCCTGCAATAAATAGGCCATTTCTGAGTTGCCCCAAATCACTGTTTCAAAGGGAAGGTAAGTGCAAGGTCACTGATATGAAAATGATATTTTATTCTCGTGCAAATAAAACTCATTTTTACAAGATAGGTTTTGCACTTATATTTTGTAAGCTTGTTTACAAAGTGAAAGTTTTTGGAATTTGGATATGGCCTACATGTAGTGCAAAGGCAGTGCGGAAAAAAAAATACAGATCGGCATTGGGCAATGCACAGTTGCTGACATCCAACTCACCCAACTACACTGTAGATTCAACGCTCTTGTAAGCAACCATCTTGAGAATCTTTACAGGGTTTGCAGTACATAGCATTTGGAAGTACATTTACCGGATGCAGAGAATTGATTCAGCTGGCATACTTGCACAGTTCATTCCACCATTCATTGTTGAGTGTCAGAGGCACCTACTTCTAGGGGGGTCCGGGGACATGCGGCATGCTCGCCCTCGCCATTCTCTGGAATGCAATTTCCTGCGTTCCCTCGAAGGGAATTGGTTAACTGGGAAGCTCTTTTAAGGCATTAAAAAAAGCTTACATAAAATGAAATATTTGATTTGGCAATATTATAATAATATCGGTTTGCAGTTGTTCGTTTTTTATTATACATGTATATGACAGGAATTATGTCTTTTTTTCCCATTGTATCATGCATTGCATAGGGTCATTATCTATCTTTGAGTAATAAATGAAAAAAGAAACAATTTCCAAACTTACAGAAATAATAAATTGTTTTGAGTGCAAACTACAGGATGCTACATGACAAACAGACAGATGTTGCATCTGGTGTAAACAAAACCCTTTCTATGAAAAAGGTCACAACTAGAGCTGGTTGTTTACGGTAAACGGGCTCTTACAAGTGAGCATGTGATGCTCACTTATACATAAGGGCTTTTAGCAGAACGCTTGACAGCAAGTTTAAATATCAACATACTCACATAATTATTATTTATCACTAGTTATCACATTTGAAGTTAATGACTCATGCGAAGCATTTTGAATGTACATTACTCTTAATTTGACAAAGCAGTTGATGCTTTAACTATTGACTGGGTTATACAGTCTATGCATAATCCAGTTTGACTTGATCATTTAGAAAATTGTGGGCCTGCGGAAGCAGCTATGTATCGAAAGCTAAATTTTAAATGCACATCATAATACAGACTGTCCAACCATTTGAGTATGTAAAATCTGGATATTTTTTAATCATCAATGAATCACATGTCTGCCGACTTGGTGAGCCACTACAGGGGTCTGGGGGCTTTTCCCATAGAATATTTTTAAATCTTGATGCTCTGACTGAAAAGCCATTTCCAGTGTTCTGAGAGGACACTTTTGTTATGTTCTAGGGTACAAAGAAAAATCATTTTTGACAGCTTTCCATTTGGGAAAGCTGAAGCTAGCATTTACTAGCCCAGACATTATTTCAACTATCTGCAAAATCTTTTTGACTAGCAGAATTGATTTCACAGTTCTTCTGTTATTCAAATTCCTCAAAAAACATCCCTTGCCCAGTGGGCAAGTTAAAAACAGAATTCACTAGCCCGATAGCAAAACCCACTAGCCCTGGGCTATCGGACACTACTTTCTTTGCATGCTGTGTTCGCTAAATCACAGAAATTTTCTCTACTTATTTTTATTTGGGTGTCTGCACACACAAGTACACGATTTTAATTTATATATATATATATATATATTTTTTTTTTTTTTCAAGTTTTCTGGACATCAACTTTAGTCAAGTATACTCTGTTAGGTGTTCTTGTATCAGTGTCATAAGAATTCATTTGAAAATATTAGAACAAATGTCAATTCGGGATTTTTCCCATCCCGATCGTATTAAAGGTGGATTCGGGATTTTCAAGCAAAATCGGGAGCTTGGACGGTTTGATAACGTTCGAGTACATTCATTATCAAATGTAAAGCAGTTACAATAAAGTTACTCAATCATGGGGAGCAAAGGACAAACAGTAACATGTCCTCCCACTATTCTGAGCCTTTTAATAGTAGAGGAATCTACATTTCGAATACACATTAAAAGATGCATAAGCTTCAGGTTCCTAACAGCAAAAATATATTCCCAGCGTATCACACCATACAAAATTGAACAAAATTTGCAACGAACTGCAACAAAAGAGTCCAATGCAGTTCTGCTATCGAACGAAATCGAACACAGAACTTTTTTGTGAGTTCGATGCCCGAACAAAACACAATCGTGCGGACATGATTCAAAGTTTCAGTATCTCCGCTTTGGCAACTGAAAAATAAAATCTCAGTGTAAGTTTCAGGGTCGTTTTTCCGGGCTTATTTTTATCTGTTAGCTGTTAGTAGTTGGAGGTGGAATTAATGTTCCCGAGAAAATCGGGACATTTTGGGAAAGTGACAAGCCAAGGAAATCTCATAAGCGCGGCAGTTGGGAATAATACTAGTCTACGATTCAGGACAATTTAATAATCCACGAAGGATAACAATCGAGACGATTCCCAAGACGATTTAAACTTGCACTGAACTTGAAGCTGAAAGACTTTTCCTTGTTAAACAAACGCAGTCTTTTGTTCTGTTTTGTTTAAGAGTTCGATTCGAAAATCGAACGGTCGATGTGATAAGACGGGAAGGTTGCACGCAAGCACAGCAGTGATCAGCAATTGTGTCGATGTCTTAATTATTCGCCTTTCCAGGCAAACTTTGCCCACGGAAATTACCTTACCTGATTATTAAGTTAGAACCCTTGTCAAGAAATTGTCCAAAAGGCGGTGAGAGTGCCAAATTCCAACCAAAAATCTAACCAAACCTTTGTATGGCGATGGCGCTTATGGCGAAGTAACTTCGCGAATGACGAGTCAGCATTATATTTTCCGCGCTTTTCTTTGATTAGAATTTGATTGGTCCAAACATTTCGCATTTTTCTTATTGGCTGAAACAGATTTGTGTTCAGTCTCCTTACCGCGCGCAAGAGAGCAAACAAAGATGGCTTCCAAGAAACCTCATTCGATCGGTTCTTTCGTTAAAATTTCCAGTGACAGTTGCTGGTTTTTAAATCACAAATGGCGTGTACTAATTTTCAAAGTGAGTTTTAACTGACGGGAAGTCTTTTCCTTAGCCTATAGGCGCGGATGTTTGTTGTGAAGCTTTGAAGGGATTTTTAATATGCGTATTATGTTGAGTGCAATTAAGCGTTGCAAAAATAACTTATTCTAAAGCAAAGTACATCGATTATCGGTTAGGAAGGTAAACTTTTAATTAATAAAATGCTACAATAAACTTCGGAGGGAGACATGTCATTTTTGGACGAGTAAAAGTATTCTGCCACTTCGCTGAAACGTGCTGCCGACTTGTAGACTTGACCGAAACCGGAAACCGCGCATGAAAAGCCCGTGGCACCCAGGGTAGCCGACTTGGGGAGACCCGGAGAAAGGTAAGCTTATGTGTTAGCACTCAAACCGTGTACATTA